GTATACTTTGAAGCCCTCTTGCTGAAGTCATTCCCTCCTGCTCTGTTTATATCAGTTTGTGGTGCTAATACTCCCTGAGCCTTTGGTGCTGTACCCCTATGGTGTAAATTGGATTTCTTCTTAATACCCCCTTGCTAAGTTAGACGTCAGAGGTCTTATGTTTGCTAAGTCCATTACTACTCATAAGCCACTTCCGGCTTCTACTACTGTATCCTTATCCTTCCAATCCATAGTGTTTTGTGTCTGGCTTTTTATTAATTCCTTTATTGTTAGCATAGTGGAGTTGATTGGAAATAAACATGTATTCAATTTGCCGTGCAGTCTTAAACAGAAGCTCAATATAGCTTGATGTTTTTGTTTTGAAAAATTTGAAAGCTAAAAAAATTTTCAAGAGTAGTAAAATGAACATACATTCATATAGGTAAGCTGACTGATAATAAATTGTCATATATGCATCATCCCCTCTGTGCATATGTGTGTGTGATGTGTGTGTGTGTCTGTAAGGTCATATCTGTTTCAAATTCTAATAGACACCTAAAATAACTTTTCATTGGAAGCTAACTTTAGGATGTACTACAAAACCATTTTATCTCCATTAAGGAAAAATGTCTTTATGATTATGATTAAAAACAAAACTAGAAATGATTTCTTATTTCACAAAACTATAAATTTGGAATAGCAGGTATTTATAGTGTCACTTAGCTCTCAAATTTTATGATTCTATGATTATGACATCACTTATATTTGCAAAAGTAAAATAAATTTAGTAACAGCAAAGTTATGGTTCAAAATGTTTATTAAAATGTTTATTCTTTTACATGAATCCACACTGAGCATGTTACTCATAATTGTTTAAGTTTTGATATTTATAATTCACAAATTATACTTGTGTATGCTGTTTGAATCCACACTGATAATAGATGACTTATGTTTGGATCACCTTACTCTACCTGTAAATAATTACATTTGTATAAATTACCGTTCTCTAGAACCAAAGGTCAAAGGTTAGAAATCCAAGTATAAGTTAGGATTCAATTTCAACTTATTTGGCAGTAAATAAAATCTAATGTAGTCTACATTACAAGGAGAGAAAACACAGCTTTAATTTGATATGCACTTATTCTATAACATTTTCTATTTTGATATAGGCATAGTGTTTTTCATTTCATTTTACTCGAATTACATCACTTTAAGAATATAATGTCTTTTCATTTTTAATTGACTCTAAAGAGTAAGAGTACATTTCAAAATCATTATCAGCACCATTTGTGCACTGTAAGTAACTACATTTGTTAAGAACTTGCAATTTAAATCATGGTGTTATATATTTTTTTTCTTACAGGAAGCTCTGATCATGGCAAGTATGGACCATCCACACTTAGTCCGGCTATTGGGTGTGTGTCTGAGCCCAACCATCCAGCTGGTTACACAACTTATGCCCCATGGCTGCCTGTTGGATTATGTCCATGAACACAAGGATAACATTGGATCACAGCTGCTGCTTAACTGGTGTGTCCAGATAGCTAAGGTAAGTGCACATCACTTGCCGAGGAAATGACTTTCTGACTTTATATCTCCTAATCTACAACAGTGAGGTTATTGAAAACAGACCACGTTTTTCAGTCTATTTAAATGGAATATATTACATTTGCTATTAAAAGATATATTATAAGGAGGTATTTACATTCAAACTACAGATCAAACACATGCTATACTGATATATTGTTACATTATTGTATTNCATTTTTATTATTGTACAAAAATGTCTTCCCATCAGACCGAAATAGAGAAACAAATAGCATAGGCTAGAGAGTAATGAGACACACGCTTTAGAGCTTTTTGTCTAAATCCCGGTTATTCCTTGGTGGTTTTAAAAAACGTCCTTGTACAAAGCAGACCTCATTATAAAGAAAATGTTCTTGCTTTAGTTTTCACTATAGTACCTGTTACCTCTTTCCTCCTGCCCAATGAGAAAACCCTTTAATTCACTTCCAAGAAAAAAAATGTGTAAAGCAAAAGGTAAACCAAAGGTGGAGAATAATTTTATTTTGGGAAAAATAGATAATGCACCTGTCAATTGCTATGTATTCCAGTGGCCTTGGTAACATTTTCTAGTGAGAACAGCAAAGATTCTAAAATTCCTTCCATGGGCCCCACACAAGATACGTAACAGAGGACATTATTAATTTTAACACAGAGTAATTTATTGTAACCTAACATTCCATTATTAATGCATTGGAATTTTGTCCTTTTCCATCCCACTCATCACTCTAAAAGAATCCACATTCTCTTTTCTTTATCTAGTTCCCTGTCCCCCTCAAAAGCCATCTGCTATTTCCTTTCTGAAAAAAATAAAACCTACAATTAAGTGTCTTGTTCATCTTTTCTTTCTCAGAAAAAGAGAACTATTATGCAAATACTCTGCAATTTGGTTTCAAATACTCTTTGTAGTTTGATGAGCAATTTTCCTTAATACAATTCCAGCTTTTTTGCCAGGATTTACTAATAGATTTTTTTAAGAAAGAACTTTCATGCCACTTTTTTTACACTCTTCTGATGTAAACCTTTGAAAAGCATATTTACAATAGAATTATCGTTACTTCATAAATGTAAAAGAAAACCAAAACACTGTTTATATATTTTATCCTGCAAAAGAAGTCTGAAATTACATCAAAATCTCTTTTACCTGAAATTTCATCATTTTCTTTATCTTAAGAAATGACCTGTAGTAAATAGCACTCTCAGGAAATTAGAGAGATATGTTTATTTGGCTTTTTATGAAAGCATAAGTGATGGCATTTTACCTGGACTCACCAATTTATTGTTTGTTTTTAGTTGCTTCTCAGGAACTAAAGTATAATTTGACCCAGTTCATTGAGGTATAGCTAATTCAGGTGTCTGGGGCTGTCTTTGTGTTAACAAGACAAGCATCTGTGGTGTGAAGTGTTTATGGAATTCAAGTAAAAAAAATATGTATATATATATATATACATATATATATATATATATATATATATATACATATATATATATATATATATGTATATACACACACACACACACACATTTTCACTGTCTAATAAATAGCACTACACTAAGATTTAGAAATCCTGAGTCTTAAAACCTATCCTGCTGCTCACTTGTCATATGACCTGGGGCAGGAATCCTATTCATCATGGTTTTCTCATTGTATAGCTGAGAATCGCTACCTCTTTTGACTGCTTTGTAGGGTTGTAATGAGGATCAAAACATGGCTGCCTGTTACTGCTTTTGAAATGAATTATAGAGACGCACATGTAATGAAGATATTCTAGAAGTTCTCAGAGTTTCATATTCCCTACAGTGGCTTCATCCAGGAAGCTTGTTACAAATGCAGATTTCTGATTCAGTTCTAGACCTGATTATCTGGGAATGTGGCCAGGAAAGCTACACCTGGGATGATAAACTTAGGTGGCTCTCATGCACATGAAAGACTGAAAGCCACCAGAAATCAAATAGAAAGAATGCAGTCAGTATACATTTAATTTAATTAGATTTCTAATATTTAATGTCTAATTAAATATCTAATTTGGCACTTGATTAAATTAGGTATTTAATTTGATTAGATGTTTTGCTTATTTGTTGGTGTGTGTGTATTTATGTGGGTGCATGTCATAATTCAGTGCAGGAACCCTCTGGTTGACACTTTTACTATTAATTAATGTTGAATTAATCAATGAATTCATTAATATTAATACTAAATTAAATAATAGGCAATTTAACTTGGCTAACATTCATGTCTGTATGCTCCTTCTAACTACTGTGGTTTGCTTTATTTCAAAAGTTTATTGAACTAGACAGAAAGTAAAACCAAAACATTTCCAGCTCTAGAATCCAGGTGGTGCAATATTCATAGTAAAAACTCAAATTCTGGCTTTCTTGATTATTCAGGATCTCTGGCCCCTAAAGACCTTTCCCAAATAGTTGGGAAATTGTTGGGTGCCCATATACACTCATAAGCCAGTCTCGCAGTTGCAGCCCTCCTCTGGAATCTGTAGTGTCCCTACTTACTAGTTCTTACCATGTGGAGGGCTCTTCTCTCTGAGCCACTGAGAGGTCCTAGCCTTGGACCTGCTGATGGTCCCCCCTGAGGATGGAATGTCCTTGCCAGAGGCGATGCTTCTCAGTGCTCCCCAGGCTGCCAGTCCTCAAGGTGTTGCACTGGCAGTCTCAGCAAGGAAGCATAGAAACTTGTAGGATCCCCTGTTCCCTGGCTCATCTAGTTCCCTAGGGCATCTGGGAAAGGAGGGATTGGAGGACCCAGTCTGCCTGGAAGCCATCTGGAAAATGATGATTTCAGCTTCTGCCCATAAAGACTCAAAACCAAAGCCATTTGAGTGAGGCTAATACCATCGTATCAGCTGATTTCTTCTGTTTAACAAGGTATCACTCCATTCTTCAGGCATATACTATCCCCACTCTTCCTTACTCAAAAAGTAGAACATTACACCTCACGTAAGACCCCAAATGGATCCAGTAAATCCATATTTTCCATTAGACATCCCCCATAATTGTGAATAATCTTTAGACTCAGCTGAACTCAACACCATAGTGGAGGTTAAAAGTGAATAATGTCCTCAGAAATAGCTTTAAGATAATAATAATAAAAGTCAGATACTTCTACAAGTCTAGTGATGAGAGATAGCAGAATCTAGCTACTCACTTCTCCATTCTTTAACCCCATTTTCCATTGCCCAAAGCAGTCGTTTTCAACTTTTCAGCAATGTCTCCTGTAACTTAACTCCATATATCTAAATAATATATTATTTATATTGTATTGTCAATTCTTGTTTTTTTGCAGTGTTATGCATCATGTAGTACTAACATCTCATTATGAACAACAGGAATATACCATTTCCACCTTTCAGAAGTGTTCTCCTCTACCCCCCATTTTCTGATATAGTCATAGGATGTTTGCTTGTATCCGCATTTCATTTTTATGTTGTTATGATTATATATATAACTATTCCCAGCTGTGCTCTGTAGTAAACACAAATATTTTTTTCTTTGTGCATGTCTTGTGTTTCACTTCAAATTGATTTTTTTTTTTTGCTTAGCATTCACTGTATCTATCACAACCACTTCACCTCATTGAATTTCAGACATACTCTTAATGTATCTTAAACTCATTAGGTATTTTATCAATTCCATCTTCTCGAATCACTATTCCTAGAGCGATATATTCTACTTGAGTTTGGACTGGCTGCTACTTCAGTCCTGTACACCTTTTATTCTGAAATATCCCTTCATTGTTATTTCCTTGTTTCCTTAATTTAATATGCTATTTTACCGTTTGCCCTTCATTAAATTAGCTCATTTAACAGAGAAAGGATGCATCTAAGAAATAGTTTTTAAGAACAGACAGGTCTGAACATGTCTGTATATCCACTCACCTGGTTAAA